CCCGGGTTAGAAACCTATCAGGGCTCAGGCTTCCGCTACGGTTGCCTCGAGATCTTTCTGCCTGGCGTTACTCACGTGCAAAACTGCCTTGAAACCTATCTTGATCCAGTAGAGCAAGGTCCGGCTAGGTACTTAGGGCAAATCTCAAGGCTTCTAAACGACCCATGTCCGACGCGCAACACTGATAGAGCAGTATTTCTCGACCTACATGGTTTGTAAGTATAAATAACTATCAATTGATCTCTGGCGCTCGCCAACCATCTGATCAGTGAGGAAGAGAAGCTGAGATAGATGATTATGTGATAGTCAAAGAGTAATATACTGAAAAACTTAGTATAAGTACAACAACGTAATTAAATTTTTCTGATGAACTTTTGAACTTAATCTTATACATTTTTGAGTGTCATACAACATTCGTCAGTTTTCGCTAATTGACAGGTGAGAGGCGAGAGGGGAGAGGGGGGAGAGGAGAGAGAGAGAAAGAGACTGAGGAATTTTCCATCTACTGGGTCACTCCCCAAATGGTTGCACCGGCCAGGGCTGGGCCAGGCTGAAGCTGGAAGCCAGGAGCTCCATCCGGGTCTCCCACATGAGTGGAGGGACTCAAGTACCTAAGTCATCACCTGCTGCTTTCCCAGGTGCATTAGCAGGAAGCTGGATTGGAAGTGGAGCAGCCGGGACTTGAACCGTCCTCTGATGTGGCCTGCTGGCATGGCAGGTGGCAACTTAACCCACTGAGCCACAACGTTGGCCCCAAGGTTTGCACGGCTCCCCCTGGAGCAGCCGCTCTGTGCAAAGTGTCTAACCTGTGAACGGCTGCTATCAAGGCCTCTGGCTCTGGTTGGGGCGGAAAAGGCTGCCTCAGCCTCCGAGCACGTGGACATGGGCCTGTTGTGGTCCTGTTCACAGAGCTCCCCGTGGTAAAGCCGGCACTGGGACTCTTCTGGGCTCAGCTTGCCTCTCTGCTCCCTCCCTTGTGCCCCTACAGTCGAATATCAAACCTGCAGCCAGAGGGAGTTTTTAAAAAGCACAAATTAGTTGGGACCAGGCACTGTGGGGTGGTGGGTGAAGCCGCTACCTGCGGTGCTGGTGTCCCATGTGGGCGCCAGTTCATGTCCTGGTTGCTCCACTTCCTATCCAGCTCCCTGTTCATGTGCCTGGGAGGGCAGCGGAGGATGGCCCAAGTGCTTGGGCCCCTGCATGGGAGACCCGGAGGAGGCTCCTGGCTCCTGGTTTCAGCCTAGGCCAGCACTGGCCATTGCAGGCTTCTGGGGAGTGAACCAGTGGATGGAAGACTCTCTCTCTCTCTCTCTCTCTCTGTCCCTCTGTTTTCCAAGTAGATGAAAATAAATAAATACTTAAACAAATGAACTAGAGAAGGATTCCTTCTAAGACCCCTGCCCAGAGAAGCAGGACCCAGAATCCACATTTGTGCCGTGGGTTCCTACGTGACAAAGTAAGTCTAGGTCATAGCCGGGTAGATCCCTGGACACTTAACCAAGGCTCAGCCAATCCAATTTTCTCTCCTGAAAACCGACATTCGGGTTGTTCTGCTGAGCTGAGGGACTGAGGCTGCCATTAGTGACCATGTACACACCACAGTCGCCTACGGGACTAGAACAACGTGGACATGAGGCAGCCAACAAGCTAGGAGAAGAGCTGGGAGCACACGTGGAGCCTTGGCAAGGTGCATTGTGTGTGTGTGTTGATGCAAACTTACGCATGCATGGTAAAGAAACGGGAATGAGAAAACAAACAGTGAAACAGTGCAGGAGACCCTTGCTGCCATTTGGCTCAGTTTGAGTGTCCAGGAGGGCCATGTGCTGAGGGATGCACCCTCTTAGTTTCAACTTGATCTCAGCTCCTTTCATGTTAAAGATGTTAAAGATGGTAAAGCCTTTGCCTGCAGCACCGGCATCCCATATGGGCGCTGGTTCAAAACCCAGCTGCTCCACTTCCAATCCAGCTCTCTGCTATGGCCTGGAAAAGCAGTAGAAGATGGCCCAAGTCCTTGGGTCGCTGCACCCACATAGGAAGACCCAGAGGAAGCTCCTTGCTCCTGGCTTCGGATTGGCACAGCTCCAGCTGTTGTGGCTAATTGGGGAATGAATCAGCAGATGGAAGACCTCTCTCTCTCTCTCTCTGCCTCTCTCTGTGTAACTCTGACTTTCAAATAAATAAATAAATCTTTAAAGGCAGCATGTCAGAACGTGCAAGAGGGCCACTCAGCACAACCCCACCATTTCATCCAGGCCTACACGTTCATGAAGCACTCAGCCAGCTCTGGGGGAGGGGGCGGGGGAGGAGAGCTCTACATTGCATTTAGGAACTCAGGGTATGGTAGTTTCCATTGTGGGACTTGAGTATTTAGGAATTTTATGAATGATTTAAGGAATTCTTCAAGGATACTTTTTGATTACTTGAGGCTTGTGTTTCCAATTTGAGTTCCAAAGTTGATTCTCATTTAGGGTGCAACTCTACATTAGCTGCTGGGGTTCACA